ACACACCTTTTCAATGGGCCTTAAAGGAGTGTTCCAGATCAAGATATCTCGTACTTCTTTTTTTAATCATAAATCGTTAAATCAATATGTCATCTTTAACTATTTTCCAATCGCAATGTTATTCTTTCCTGCCCCTTTAAGTAATCGACCCTGGAATATGTTTTAATGAAAACTGTTGGACCACTTTCAAAGTTTATTAATATGACCTTATGGGCATACCGGGAAATGTCACAGCTATATTTAATTTTATTACAGTAATTACAAGAGAGGTTTGGTTTTCAATCAATGAGTCGACAGTTGACACAAAATCCTAAATGACCATTTGTCAAATTTAAATCACGTGATGTATTACTTTGCGGGACCATACCTCCGCCGTGACCTAAGTGTTCAAATAACTATACTGATTGTGTATTCAAGTATTCCTATTCAATTGTCAAATCTATTGTCAGAAATCGTTTTCTTTGATTATTGTGCGTATTTATACAGGATCGTATTATTTGTTTCCCGCGCAAAATTGTCTAGAGACCGTTTTTAATGTAACGAGGAAGTGCAATGTATGATTCATCCGAAGACAAACCTTAAGAATGAAACTGGGGTATTTTATACCAGTAAGGAGTCACCGAACATTTAAATGTAACGTGAAGTTATATTTAGTTGAAATGCCCCAGTAATTGCTTTTCAATTTAACAAAACACGACGACCTCAGTTAAAGTCTGACATTAATATAACGGAATACTTGTCCTACATATATCATGAATTAAATTATGTGGAATTGCATTCAACGGTCTAGGGGCGTTGTCTACCCATGAATTATTGATATGACGATCTCTACCTGGGAAATCGAAAACAATAATCCACCAATATAGAAGAATTGCTTTTAACCCTATGCGTTTATTCCCTGTACCGCATTTTATCGTTTCGTTGTGTCATTGCTTTTGCAAGATCGATTGAGCACTCAGCTCTCGACATTTATGAGTCTGGCGAAAAAGAGTGCAAGTGCATACATATTACAACATTATATTAGCTCCTGCACGCTATATTACATTAGCGTCGATAGGCTAATATAATATAGAAAGTATACAGGGAGTTCTCATTATTGTTAGAATCGAATATAAATTTGATCTTCTAATCTACAAATACAATTGACATAACCTATGATAGATAAATATTCATTACAAAAGGCACTAGTAGTAATCTGTACCTAATGTAGTCAGCAAAATTCGTCCCTATTTAAATTACAGACGTTTTGTTAATACACTAAAACGATGATTCTCGAAGAACATTATTTGAATAAACTATATTCGTAATGTTAATTAATCAAGTATCGTTCAATAAAATGCTTTATATACTTACCGTTACATTGCCCCCTGATCCCTGGGCATGTGTTACAACCACAATGGCCATGAAGACCGCCATAACGCACAAAGTTATAAAATTCCTCTGCATTTTAAAAATATTTCGTATAAAATCCTCAGAAGTCCTGAATAGTTCTTTAAAGACTAACGCGTATTCTAAGCCGGTGTCTGACAGATAGCCTCGTTATGAAAATAATAAGGTACTATTTATGCTAATTTATTTTCTCTCATTCTCCAACTTTCGACGTACTTTATATCAATAAAATTACCTCCAAGACACAAGTGACTCCTTGCATTTGGAGATTGTCTGATTGGAGGCAATATGAAAAGTGTAGCAGCTGGCCGGGAGAAAAGACCCGGGAATATTAATGCTATTGATTAAACAAATGTGTGTACAATACATTTCGCCTAGATTTCAACTCTGGGGGTTCACTCCCGTGCAGCATGGCCAATTTTGGCTTTGAGCATAAAACATGGAAATTGGCCAATCTGAGAGGAAAAAAACATGGATAATTGTCTATGAAAGTACTTTTTAAAGTCAAAATTCAGTATTTCTACAAAGAATTGTACTAACATCGTTAAATCAGCTGTTAAGGCCTGGAAACCTTTAATCTTGAGAGGAAATTGACATGGAAAAAATGCTCAAAAAGCGGGTCTTTTGGGCGGTACATAGGTATTAATAAGAAGTATATTGGAGTGAAACCCCCGGGATTTCAACACACGTTGAAACGATGAATTATATCTTCGTTTGATAATGATTATTGTGAAACTAGAACAGACAAATTCCAATAACCCAGATGCGAGTAGAAATAATCTTGATTTATGTCATTAAAAATTCAAAATTCAGTCAAAGTAATATCATATTTGAAATCTACATGTAAAATTACATATTCCCCATAGACCCCATGCTATAAAATCACAAAAAATGAAATATCTTTTCTTTTAGTAGACAGATATTTTTTTTCTTTACTGGACATATTTTCATTAGTATAAGAATCAGACACATAAGGGTAATATGAAAATTGAGCCACTTAAATTGATAATATTCAAGTTTAAGGGAACTTTCTTATATACCTGCCATGTTAATTGACCCGAATCAAAATGACTCAAAATGGAAATGATTTCATAAGAAAATGAATTGTACATGTATATTTCACACATTTACTACACAGGTATTTATCTAAACACCGTTTAATTATTGTTTCACGAGATTCATACCCCGAGTCGCCGTGCAAAGTGCGTGCTAACGACCTACGCACTGAGCAGGACAAATAAATGTACGTACATTGCATCCGGGTATTGCATGTATATTTTAATTGATAGGTGGTGGGGTTAAGTGAAACCACACGTGTTGTACCATAAAATGAAACAAAAACGAAACAAAAAGTTCAAGTAAATATGCGATATTTGAATTATGTATGATAATTTTTAAAATAGTAAATGATAGAATAAACGTTTCATCTCGAATTCCGTAGTAGCCGTGCGACTTTTTAGCGGGAATTGAACAAGAAATGTACTATGTACCTAAGAGAGCAAACAATTCGATCTGTGACTGGCATATTTATTGTGTGATGGAATTTGATCGAGCTGTTTCCAGTATCTGTATCAGTTGCATGTATTGCTAGATCAAAGGATAATCTCTGGCTCAAATGGTGTAATTGAAGCTCCCGTTCGAACAATTATTGTAAATTCAATTGTATATACATTGCATATTGTAAATTCATATTAGCAGAGACGTAAAAAACGTTAATATATGAGCCAGGCCACAGGAAAAGGGGTCTTATCACAAATTATTTCAATATTCTTATTTTTTGTTTACTCTTAAAAAGCACAAAGAGACCTTTCAAATGAGCCATGACTCATGTTTTAACAATTTTTCTTTCCATATATAGACCAAAATGTCGGATTTGAATTTAGCACATTTCCCTTTTAATCTTGGGCACATTTTTGGCTCCTTAGAAGAATTTGAATTTTTGTGAAAAGACCGGTTTTCCTATTGCCAGGGTCATATATCTCTGATCTTAGCGTCAAGCTAGGATGAAAAAAGATTAGCCAAAAACGATAACCTTAAGTATTATAGTCGAGAAAATAATGAAAATGAAACTCTCAATTATGTTTGGATTAATACATTTTACAAACAAAAAGGTCATACATGTACCCGATTTCAGTACCTAAAATCAGATCGATGTAGTTGTAGGTTGATATTCAACATAGTGACTAGGTCAATATAAAGATGTCACTACTGGTCTTTCCATTTATATCTTCACTCATTGCATCAAATTCGAACTGGGTGTCGAGCAGTTCTAGACGTGCAAAGAAAGTCTAGGGACTACGTGTACCTAGAGATTCCAAGACGTGTCAAGAAGTGCAATGCGTGCAGATTGGGCAATAAACTCTTTGTGAACATAATATGCCTGTTTATCGCTGTGAACATCTTTGGAAAATCTGCATCAAATCGGAAGTGTCAAGCATATTTCTAGACGTCCAAAGAAAGTCTAGGAACTCCGTGTACCTAGAGATTCCAAGACGTGTCAAGAAGTGCAATGCGTGCAGATTGGGCAATAAACTCTTTGTGAACATAATATGCCTGTTTATCACTGTGAACATCTTTGGAAAATGGTTGTTGATTTTAACCTTTGATTAAGTAACAACTGTTCCGATTGGCTAGTGATTTATGGCTATTTGAAAGTGTGTTTGCTGAATCCCGACAATTGTATAAGCTGCAGCTAGGGTATGGAAAGAAGTGAAATACCCTTGGACCAAGGATGCCACAATCGACCGAAAAGGTTTTTGTGGAGTGAACAAGTGAACAGAATCCCGGGCATTGAAATGCATAGAATTTTTCTTATTTGCTGATATTATGCAAGGAATCATAAAGTAATCACAATTGAAATCCCAGGGGAGTGGGCTAGGCAAAAACAAAACTCACAACATATGTTTCAAACATGTATTCTATAAAAGTCTATAAAAATAGTTATGTTTTATACAATATTTTTACTCCGATATGGACCACACGAAGCCCATGTAATTCTACCCTCAATATACATTGTTAGTAGCTGTAAATATTGTATACATGTTTATACATTTTAACAAAGGCAAATGCTATCAAAGTTGCAATAATTCAGCATTAATATTATCTCATATTTCTTGCATTACATTTTACAAAGAGGGGTAATTACCCAGAATTCAAAGATGCATATATCTTCCTGTAACGACGGACCACTTTTATTTTTACATGTAGATGGGTTCATCATTGAATTTCGAATCATTTCAACTTTTTTATTTTACACGTACTTGAGTGGGTGTAAAGTTGGTGGTTAGTCATAGGCCATGTCAGAAATAAGTTATAGGCGCGAAAATACAGCGAATCGTGCTTCCAAACAAAGAAAAAGCAAGTTTGATAGTATACGTATTTATAGATGTCACTAGTGTTTGGTAACTTCAAATTGCTTGTGACGAAATTAGGCGAGCACTGTTTTGAAGAAAGTGAACATGAATTGTTTTAATATATGATCTCAGTCGTGGTCTTCACTTGCCTAATTGACTTATATAAAGTAAGTATATGCTATATGGCCCTTGAAAAGATGAGAAGAACAATTCAAATGGGTCATTGCGTTCATTTTCTCCCTGTCCAAAGCACGTATACTGTATCTTTACACTCTTTATTATCAGTTTCTCTACTTGTCTATACTTTTGTAGGTGAAGAAAACGTACACCATATATGGCTCGACTCAACTATGAATAACCAAGGCGTTCCTATTTTTCGCCAGACCAGTATTTGGCAAACCCCAGCCGATCACTCACAGGCCGTAAGGAGTTAACTAAACGAAAACGTCACCCGTTTTTTATTTTAGTGTACATGTGCATCCATTTGAGCTACAATCAATAGCTACCATTTAGATTCTGTGGAGCTCAATCTTCGGAATGAACCAGGCGTTACAGTTTTATCTTCTGGTGGCTTTTTATCAATGTCTATTCCGTATTTGTCGCTTGTATCATCCAATATTTCTCTTCTCACGTTTTCGTTTGTTAGTTCAGCTAAAAACCAATCTGTAAACATCAACATTTCTTTTAAATGATACCTTCCTAATTTGAAAATTGGAGATGACGATTACGGTACTGCTGCATGTAATCAAGACACTCTAGTGAGACAGGAATAGACGCAATACTATAAGTAATTGTTCAATTTACAAATGTTTCTGGTTGATACACATACCTGTAAAAGGCTAGTGATTATGAATCCCTGTTTTGTTACAATATTTCGAAAATGTATCACTTTGATTACTGTTTCAATCGCCAAAGACAAACAGTGACCTGAAACCGGGGCTTTCAGTGACTTAACTGATCGTAAGTGAGAAGAACATTTTAAGAGTCATATCAAATACAAGTTTTACCTATACATTGTTGTCGTGTTCCGTTTGTTGGACCATCGTAGTCATCGGGTAAGTACTCCGACGGGAGCAGCCTCATTGGAATGCATTCAAATACACTCTCCATACTGTTCCCATGCATTTGAACCTATAACAAAATTCATTTCATAAAAATCCGAGCATTTCGTCCAGTGCAATTGTGCCTGAACGAAACAACTGAGTAATTGCAAATTCATAAAATACATATTCGTCTATAGTTTGGATAATATACGAGTAGGGGTTTGAGGGAAAATATGGATGCATTAGTTATGTTTCGTGTTAAAGTTTTACGAAAGTAGTCATGTTTGCCTGTGAGTTACAGTTACCAGGGGAACGTAACGTTTTCCGTTCCTCAATCATATCTGGTCGGGAATTCATGACACGTTTGATGCAAACATAAGCAGCTTTAAATCCGTGACAGCTTGGCCCTATATATGGAAATTGTTTTGCTAAACATTTGAGGGGAAGTTCGTCTTTACGTCAGACTCCTTACCCGTTGTCTTAGTTTTTCCTGCATAAACGGTTTGATGAGCGTCATCAAGGCGTCTGTTAAGGCTCCAGAGTTGTACCAATGTATAGCTTTATACCTCAGTGGGAACTGACCTCCCTGAAATATATATTGTGTTCAAAGCTCAAAATGTTAATTTATAAAGCTATAAAATATTGTAGTATAAAATGAAACGTCATAATAATTAAAAAGCTTTTACGTGCTTATACTAATTCTTGATTTTAAACTTACAAATATTCTAGTAACCAAGGATGAATCACGGAGAGCTTTTTACACAGTTCATATGTTTTTTAGTGGTTTCTTCAAGAGAGGATGTGCATAAATAGGGCTCATATTAGAATAACAATATTTATTTTATTTTCCACAAGATGGAAAAGTTTTATCAAGAAGCAAAAGTCTTTTCTGGGTCACCGCGAATGGCATGATTTCCTCGAGTCTCTTCAGTTGCAAGGCAACCATACTGGGACCGATTCGCGTCGTTCCACTACTGCCCTTGGTGGGGGCCCGCTACCATACTATATGACTCCCGGAGTTTACTAAAGCACGTTAGTGGAGGAACCAACCACAGTCTCACAATCTGTCTCCGACAAGAGCAGTCAGAGAACCAACCCATGCCAAGGGCCGGTAAACGGTTGGACCTTCGGACCGGGTGTCCGTAGTGACAATGATCAAAAACTCCGTACCTGGGACTCGAACGCGGGACCTCCGTATCCCTCCGGACGCTCGACCACAGTCTTACCACCTAGGCCACACTGCTCAGGTATCAAAACTGATCTAAAATGTTATCGTTGTTATGATATTTTGCTTGAATGAGCGTGCATGTGCCTTAAATAATTCTATTTTCTAAACAATTTGTTTAGAATTACTAATTACGAACAACGAATGCAATCACCACGACCCAACGTGTAATTGGCTACTTCGCGTTTAGCCCCTTCTCTGAGGCGTTTTTGTGTTGTGCTTAAACTTACATGAATTGAATATTGAAAGAATCACCGTTTGATTTTACAAGCAGTAAATGCGAATTCAGTATGTAAATACATGTATTTTAATTACACTAGATGTAACACTCAATCTTCTGTTTTTTAGATTTTGAAAATATTTTTGTGAAAATGAGTTTACTCTACTTGGTCTAAAATGCAGAATAGAACAATATATCATATAAGAAAAAACAAGGAGATTTTCGGATGGGCGGGTATGAATTGGTAAAGCTTACCTATTAATATAGTTTTAACTTGTATATACTTAAACAAATTTGATGTCAACCGATCAACGCTTAATCATTCCACGGACGTTCACTTGCGAAACGTTTAACATCTTGGGCAAAAATGCCCTTGGGTTACCTCCCAATACCCAATTTGATTGACTTACCATAAAACATTTTACTCCTTTTGTAAATGTAGGCGCCATCTGTTTCATGTGGGACATGGTAAAATTAGTCCTATCCTCCAGGGCGACGATTCCGTTAATCTACAAAAACGAGAAAATTGTGATAGACTAGAATCAGAGGGTTGAAAATATAATGACATCTTATATTTTGACGAGCCGGCAATTCATGTTTACCAATTGAAAGGTAAAGGGTTCCTAAATTGGTTCTGAGATTTAACAAGAAGAAATAGTTGTCAAAATGTGTTTTTGGGTGAAAAGTGTGTTTTTTGCAGAAAAAAATTTTAAAACTAAAAAGATTTTTTTTTGAAAATTTGTTTTAATACAAACAGTCTGATTAAATATAAAAAGTGAAAATAAACCATATTTGATTGCTTTTGGAGATTTTTGGGAGCTTTTAAGGAATTTGCTTGTGGTTGGCCCATAAGTGAAATAAATTGTCAATGTACTATTTATATGCATTAATAATAGAGATATTATTAAGGTTTACTACTCGAATTAGCACTTCACCAAGAAAAATAATATATTTTAATTAAATTTTATTTCATACTTCATTGTGTCACATTCCAGTTCATACGTTATATTACTCAAATGTTCATAGAAGTAAGATATTCGAATGTGGTGTATGTCACCATGAATGTATACTTAAATATATCCTCAAAACATTTGCAGACACGATGGTTGGTTTACTATTAATATAAAATGGATATTTAAACACATAATGTTATGTGGAAACATATATATTGTCACTATCATCATCACAGTCTGTCATCGACTACTTTAAACAGTGAGGTGGATCAGGTCATTTTTACAAGTTTCAATGTTTCCGCACAAATTGTTATTTAACTGAAATCTACTTCTTATTCTCAGATAAAATGAACCAGCGCAAGCAGTGACAATTGTCAATCATACTTCTGAAAGACATTCGTAAGAAACCTTTAATGACTGAGTACGTTCAGTTAATGAAAAAGGCGTGAACATCCTCCACTCAAAACTATCATTTTCCCTTATCAATTTTTAACGTTTTTAGCGGAGGCTTTTGTTTATTATTTTGAGTGATAGTCTGCGATTAAAAAGATTCCTTGCTTCAAACGATTATGCCTTCTTTTATTTGATTAAAAAACTATGAACAATGGGGGAGAGCAAACAATGGGGAGCATGAATTTGGACAGCCTTAGCACATCAGTCATGTAGACAATACCAAGTGGCTTGGTAGCTCTCTTCTAAGTTGCAGTGCTGTGTGCACCATCTCCTGAAATGGTATTTTACTGCACCAATAGTTTACGGGTAAAATAACAGTTTATGCCATACCATATACCTTATATAATAGGACAATTAACTTGTAGAACTCTTTTATGTGCAGCTCTAATGCTTTTCGCAATTGCAAATGGTCCTAGATTTTTGTCAACTTATTGTTTAGAATCACCAGCTAATGCATAGTATATTTCTGTCACAGCTGACAACTTAAGAACATGTTCGTCTTTAGCAGCAGAAGATAGCTCACTTGTGAGAGAATGTAGCATGTCAAATAATACCGGTGCTAGTGGAAGACTTCTTCATATCACTTTTAAATTTGAAAAAAAACAGACTTAGTGATCTATACATTAGGTCATTCATACTATCAAGTCTTACACCCTATGATGGATGTACCATTGAGAATTACATTTACTGATTTGTGTGTACTCATATATTGGAAGTGTATTGTGCCATTTTTACTGTTCTGGAGTTATACCTTTCCCATTGCTGAAAATGTCATAACATTTATCTGTTATCTTATTCTGTTTGGATGTTATGCATCAATCATCTTTTCATCAATATCCCTATATTGTATACATTGTTATTTGTGTTGAGCATTCCATAAAGTTAAACAGAAGACACATCCTGTTTCTTCTGTTTTATGATATATTGAGATGAGATTTATGATAGTTCCCATTAACTGAACCAATGACTAACAAATCTGATTTGATAGGGAGATTATTGTGTTTAGTGATTATTGGTACTAGTTCAATAACGTTAATCAAACCAGATAAAGTACAATCTGTATGAAACCAGTGTGTAAAATCCAAAACACTGATTGGTTGGCAGGGCTCCAGCCTGGCACATTGACAAGTTGACCACATTTATTTATGTGGTGATCAACACTGACTGTATATGTTGAACTAGTTAAGAAATGAGGAATATTATTTTAATTAATTGTCAAATTAGTGCCTTTTGACACCTCGTTCACCATGTTAAATCTCACAAATCTTTTCTTATATAAAAAGGAGTATTTTGATACAGGTCTCTTGCCGGCTCGTTAAAATATAAGTACTTTCACTTTCTAGAGGCTTTTATCATCATATGATTCTAGTCTATGAGACATATTTTGTGATTCTAGAGAGTGTTGGAAATAATGCAATATATTGGGCAACTTTCCTTTTTCCAGAAACCTTTTCCAGATACGTAATTTATGCGTATATTCCAATATTTTTATTGTACAAATATTTATAGTTTTTGAAATGTTGATTTCCTTAAACCCCGATATTCGGTCTTGGTTATTAAGGCAAAGAACAGTTTTCGTGTTTGTTATATTGATGGGGTAATTTAAGGTAAATAAAACCGGAGGAACCCAAATCAAGGATAATGAACAACATTTATTTTACCTGGGTTGCTTCATCTCGTAGTAGGTATAACAGCATACCAACGCAGGCCCGCCCCATATCCGTTGAATTTAAACTTTTATCGTGGAGATCGTAAACCTCTGTCAAATGAAGAAAGAAGGATTATTGAAATGAGAACCTTTCAAACAGAAATCGTATCAAATCTGTTTCGCTCATACCTGTAAAAGCGTTTTAGAGCTTGCTGAACCTTACTTTGAAAAATTGATATCGAGTGTTTCAAAAATTAAGGTTACTTTTTTATATGTATGCCATTTACGATTCGTGCATTTTAATATTTTAATAATAACAGCTCATTTTTGAAAGTTTGTATACTCACCTGGTCTGAAAACAAAGATCTTCCTTCCTTCATCATCCCTCCCTGGCAGGACAAGAAATAACCTATTGTACAAAAAACTCTTATAAGGACATAATATGTACATGTATATGTACCTCCTTTAATTCAAGTACATATTATTGTACCTCCAATAATGTAATTCAAGACTATTGTATCTCAAACGAGAAAATCCTAAATTATTGTACCTCAAATAATGCAATTCGAGACTGTCGTACCTCTCATAAGAAATCCTAGATCATTGTACCTCAACTAATGCAATCCTAGATTACCATACCTTTTATAGTGAAATCCTAAATTATTGTACCAAATAATTAAAGAAAATCTCTTTATCTTTACACCTTTATGTCGATGATGGGACGCGTTAACTTGGGTGTTATTCAAAGTAAAATAACATTTTAGAATCCAAATGTTAATACAATTAATTCTTTGTAGACAAACTGGATCGGTTAGAATAAAAAAAAGTAATGATTTCTCACCCAGATTTAAAATATTTCAGTATATTTTCATCAGTCGTGTCGACATCTGAAAACCATTCTGGCATTTGCGAACAAATGTCCAAATAATTTTCTATAGTTTTCCGGGCTCTCAACTGGCAGAATTTGGCACACCGTAGGAAACGCAGCAGAAAAGGCATATCTGAAATCAAAATCTGCGTTGCTCTTATACAAAATATGTTATACAAGATATGATTACTACCTCTGTTGAAATACTCAGTTCAGATTTGTCAAAGTGCGGGAAACAATTTTGGCTGTTTACCACGCGATGCATTGTTATAATAATCAATAAGAAAGGAAATTAAACGGAATATGATGATTGAGACTGTTAAATAACATTGTTGACGGTAAGTTAACCTTGTTGTATGAGTATGTTCTTTGGCTAAGTTTTCTTCGGACCAGCAAAATAATTAAACATCAAATTATCACACTTTTCGAACAATTATTGTATTTTGTATAAAATTAAGATTTAAAGATTGACAGGGTTTGGACAAACTTATGTCGGAGAGTTTACCTGTCCGACATCTCAAATGTTGTTGTGTCTGCACCCATTGTCTCAATGTTAAAACTGCACTGTGTCTCTCCACTGGATCTTCGTTCAGTTCTCGTTCTGCCTTCCCTAAAGAAGCGTCATCTAAAGTACATACGTACTTATCATCTTCGTTGTCTTTTTTGCGCTTTCCCTAAAAGCAAATACAATGAGTTTATCGCCCTATTCAGTTTTCATATTATTGCCGCCGGGAAATGATTGTCCCAGTTTGTGTTGCGCACCCCGGTCCGACATAATAATGGCTTACACCACCCGCCATACGTTTACGTTTTACGTTTTCCAATTTTGAATGACAGTTTCAAAAAACTGTTAATTTTTGCGTTTTATCATTCATTATAGGTGTAACACTATTACGATTAAAACATAGAGAGGTGTTTGATATGCTATCTCATTAAAAAGGGGGAGATATGCAGACTAAAATAGTACCCATGGCAGCGCTAATTGAGTACTCATTTTAGTATATATTAGTACTAAATGAGCACTTATGACACGAGTACTGATTTATTGAATTTTTGTACTAAATGAGAACTCATATGATGAGTGATAAAATAGAATTATTAGATCTATTTCAAACGGGCACAGCAACCCGCCACACATAATCAAGTATATATGGGATTTTATTCCATAATACTACTGTTTTCCTAGGGAAATATGAAAGAATAAAAATCGTATTGAATCGTATTACATGAAAAAATCGTATTGTCCCCGGGAAAAAATCGTATTGGAGCGTATTACATGAAAAAATCGTATTGTCCCCGGGAAAAAAATCGTATTGAAACGTATTAACCTATTTTTGGTTTTCCTGTTATTTTTAACCTTGGCTAATTGATAAAGCATTTTCAAAATGTAACATTTTAGAGGAATGTATTATGGAATAAATAGGTTATTTCTGGTCGGGATTGAATATGGGTTTCATTCCTCGGAAAATATGATATTGACCTTGGGAAATATGATATTGACACTCGGTCGCTGCGCTCCCTCGGTCAATATCATATTACCCTTCAGTCAACATCATATTGTCCCTCGGAATAAAACCCATATTCAATCCCTCCCAGTAAATAACCTATATAAGTATAATGAATTCTACACGTATATGCTCTCACGCATCGGTCCATTCTATCAAAATCAGATAATAAATAAAGGAATTTATTGATTAAATCGAGATTGGATGTGAACAGGTCACTATAACCATAGAGGACATTGTCCTTTCAATTGAAGTTAGATTGGAACGGAAAAGTGTACTCAGTCTGCGCTCCCTACATGTTTTTAAACAAGGAGTGCTCCAAATAATGGCGACTTTATATCCGGACCAAATTGAGAGAACTCCACAAAATATTTTCTTGTTCGGGTTCATCATTAGTAGGTCTGCCAGTGCAAAAGGGGCAGGTAAAAAATGAAAAGACGTTTGCTCTCAAAAACATACAATTTGGATCGATATATCTGTACCGATTATTGTAAGTTGTAAGTACACCCCTCTCTTGAAATATGAAAACGGAGAGTCCCATTTTGAACCATCTGTTTAATGAGTGTTTATTTTTGGCATTATATCTAAAAAAGCCATTTGTATATGTGAATATTACTTAAGATTACACACTATCCAATGTTGACTTCCGAATGCCAAACTTATTTAGGGCGGTGTATATCACAATGAGGTCTAAGAGATAGTATCTGGTTCGATATGCTGTTAATATGAAAAATAAAAGATAAATTATTTATACTTGGAAGATCAAGCATCATCTATATAACGAGAATAGAAACAAGATATAGGACAGGGATACTTAGCAATTAACGATAATTTCATAGATGAATAACACCCAATCTCTATCAATTATAGTCCTTCCAATTATTTTCCATATTAGCAAAATACCAAAACGACACAAATAAGTGTATTTATGTATGCTGCACTGACTTGATTCCAGCCTGACCAGAAAGTGTTGTCTTCACCGAACAATTGATTTCCGAGATATTGAACGCCGTGTAGGTTTAACGCCCAGCAGATCGGTCATTTTTAACGATTTAAGCACTGGACTGCTTTGTTTGTATAAATATTAGAATGCCAAGGAATAAAGCAAGAACATAATTATCGAGTGACATAGAGCACACAGGAATCAATGGACCCTTAACACATCAAAATGATTGATATCAGGCGGATTAATTAGTACGTTGCCCAAACCAAGACCGAATGCCGAGCTTAAATTCTTTCGATATTGCGAAACATTTTTATGAGTTATGAAGAATAGTAAATTGAAATATGTGGCTGGTCGATTGAGTCCATATAGATAAACTAAAATCAAGTGAACCTCCTCAAAACGGAGACACACCCTTGTTATTTAACCCCACAATTCTAATCCGAATAACCCCCCCCTCCAGATTATGGAAACAATGTATGATAAAATGTGTTGCTGCCCGATAATGCACATTGTAGGTTGAATTGCATAGCATTCCTTTGATAAACCGTTTTGATATGCTACGTCTATTCTGAAAAGTGGTCAAAGAATTTAATAAATAAAACCCGTATACAAAACATCCCAATGGATAGACTATTTATACTCAATGATTGACCTTGTCCCAACGGGACCACTACAACTCTCTTGGTTTTCTCATTTTGCAATATAGGGCTATGCAATATTAATACTATACTGCTGTACAAATAAGTGGCTGTACGATAATTGATAAACATATGCTCATCGATTTTCAAGGTTTAATAACAATATTCAGGTATTTTACACAACCTGTAATATTTGTTACATTTTATTCGTTTTTTAATCCTAAATTAAAGATAAGTTTCCTTTAAATCGTATTAAGAGCTTTATCTAAATTCTCAGAATACTCGCTGTAAGTGAACAAATTGCACGTTAGGTATTTTTTAGGTTATTCTTATATGTAAAAATAGTATCCTTCAACTATTTTATATTACTCTAGGTTTATCCAAACACCCTGTTCATAATTGAAAAATATAGAAAATGTATGGAATGGTACTCCAATGCCGGATCTATTTACATTTCAAACAAATGAAACTATCTTAACCTTTAATACTAATGTGCACTGACCCGATTCACCCTACCGGCCATAACATCGAATACGAGCTAAATTTGCAAACGTATAATATGTAATTTAACTCTGCAATATTTGCCAAAAATAGAAAGTATAGCAATCTGTACTCACATTTGAATTTGGAACCTTTCGTCGAAGCATTTTGCTCAGAGGTGAATTCTTTACGTTGTCCAACCAAGCTTCATTTGGTAGAATTATTGTTCGTTTGGTATTTGAGTCTTTACACTCTATTTAGCCAATTCACGTGTAGTATGTACAGTGTATACACACAGTGTTTATCAATAAATAACAACAACATAAAAAGCATTAATGTGGCAATCTTGAAAGAAGGCCCCCAATGGGGGATACCGAATGGGCTAGAGGATAAATAAACATCGATAAAGAGTAAGCTTACATACTCATATTGGATATTTCTAATCAGGGCATATTTTTTCTAAAGGTATATAAAGCTATATTGAAAATACATTTAAAATACATAGAATAACCCATATATGATAAAATGAAAGTGAAGAATGTCAACTCGTCAGTGCACAACTGTCATGTACATTATAATTTTTCATTAAGTTATTCATTTGTACAAAGAATACAATACAATAATATATGTGTAAGTGGCTGTGCTTTGAGCATATTACTAATGTACGATATACAATGTATTCAATCAATAATATTGATTAAAATAAATGAGATACAAGATAAAAGTTGTTTTGTGGAGGATTTTAGACATTATTTGATTGCGGTTCGTCGAGATGCTCCTTTTTAACAAATATATCACTTATGCAAATAACGGCAACTCCGCGGAGTAGCAAATCCCAACGAACAAAATATCAATTACCGAATTCCAATCAATTATATTCATTACTTTGGTTAAAATTGAAAAATTTAGATTTTAGAATTGCGAATTCCTGCAAAGCAGCCATTTTGAATTTTCTGAGGTACAAATCTGAAAAATAATACCATTATTGTGATCTACTCCAAAATTCCTTCAATTTGAGTATAATATAGCCATACTTTGAAGGGATCGAACAATTATTGTGAAATCGTACATTAGACGGCCATTTTGAATTTTACGAGACTCGAACAAGAAAAAAGATATAATATTTGCAATCTACTCTTAATTGCTTTTCATTTGAGTATAATAAAGCTATACTTCAGAAAGATCTAAAAATTAGCGAAAAGTTCTGTTTTCCTCACGAAAAACACGGAATATATGTAAAATAGATAGATGTTGCGAATATACTACCAACATTTCAAACAATAATATTAATTACTTTGGTTTAGAATGAAAAATTTATGATTTTTGCGAAAAAGTACCATCATTTTTAAAGCGGCGGCCATCTTGAAAAAATTTTTTTGCGTAAAACTATTCACCAATATACATCTTTCCACTAAATATGAAGAAAATCCGTCAACCAATATTTGAGTTATGGACGGACGGACGTAGGGCTTCACTATATCCCTACCTAACTTCGTTCGTAGGGATAATTAAAACAAGTAGTTTAAAAATGGCATATAGCAGATTGTCACTAACAATGTGATAATTTCAAAACGCCGAGATCGAACGTCACCACTTCTTGGTGTTGACGTATACACGACAGAATTAAAAGGTATAAATAAAATGCGGCATGTCACTACATGCCCTTTGTTACAGACGCTGAACTCCGAACGCCGAGCAACAAGTGCCGTCACAAAAAGTCGGAGAGCGTAACGATATGTCACCACTTTTGGTGGTGCCATAAAAACGACAAAATGAAATCCGACAACCCACTGGGAGCCTCACGCAGCGTTGTCCTTGTGGTTTATCATTAATATCAAAACTGAATGAGAAAGAATGTTACTATATTTTCATGCCAGTTAATAAGATACATTCGATCAAAAAGAAAATTCTGACAAAAAATACTTAAACAGAAACACCAGTTGTGCTCATGACACGAGTATATTAAAATTGTACTCAGAAAATACTACGGTCCACGTTTGAATTTGATAAACACGTTGCGTCAACAGGCCTTCACTTATAAACTAAATGTGTTGCTTCCGTAAATGTGAGGGAACCGGTATAATATTATAAAAACTACTATAAATACTTACTATGTATCACTGTGAAGAAAGTTAATGGTCCCTAGTGAATATGGCTTCCCTATATCTTAACCTCTACTGACGCTTTAGAAGTAAAATATAATAAGTATTCTCCAATCCCATATTTGGCACTATTTGACATTATTTACCAAATAATTACGAAGATGATGAGGCAGTAAAACATATACATTTTGAGAAAAGTGTAAATTATGAAAAACTTATGCGCTAATAAGTGAAATAAAACGCAATACGGGGACCTGTGAATTACGCTACTGTCAATCTATTAATGGGTACAGATGCACCGGACAAACCCACTCGAATCACTACTTGAGCTCCCCCTGACATTGAACTTCGAACAATTTCTGAATTTACAACATTCGTTATCATCGAATGGTGATTTATAAAGGCAAATACTATTGAATGCGAGATAAGGAGGTCTCGTGATAAAAACAAATAGTTAATGAAGTGGGAGTTATGTTATCCCCGGGAATATTAGTAAGATGAGTGAAGTGTTTTTCGTCTAGTGCGAACAGCCATGTCAAGGTAGAATCCCCTTGATAGGTTTGACAACCAGAATATATTATATACAGGGTCAGGTGGGCCAAAAACGTAATCCAAACAAATGTTTATAACCCCGTCTTCCAACATGGATTTGAACTTATACAGGGTGTCAAATAAGTCCCGCCCCCCTCTACAGTCAAAGCCAAGATATATGGTACCAAGTGTGATATATCATTGGAAAGATCTTCCAAAGTTACGATTAGCATATATCTGACACATGTCAATCAATCTCACACATTTTTACATTGTATGAATTGAGGTGACCATAGGCCTATTGCCAAGGTTGGAGCTGTCATATTTTTATGATAAATATGTTTTGGACTACTTGGATAATACGTTATAAAATATTAGATATAGTGATTGTACAGGGTGGTCAAAAAAGGAAACCCTTACACTATTTACCTCAGATCTTTGTCATTTTCAGAAATAATTCCCTTACATTTTTTACATTTGTACATCATTCAATTTCATACCAGCCTACTATATGTCATGACCATCAGATTGATAGTCACAATGTTACAGCACTTTATATACATGTCCTAGTAGCCACTTTTGTGCTGTCGGGAAACCTGCACTTGTTGTCCAAAATGTCCCTACCTGTGGGGATATAGCAGAGATAGAGTGTATGAGAATTACCTCAGGACAATTGCAAACCTCAAAAGTGAGATCATTCATGTCATTCAGGCTATACCTGCTGAGGAATGCATTCGGGTCACTGACAACTGTGCTGTTTTGCCTGCAGCGCGATGATGGCCAAACCTCAAGCATGTTGTTAAAAGTGCTGTAGAATTGTGACTATAAATATGGTCATTAAATATGGTAGGTTGATAGGAGATTGGATGATGTTATTATGTATCAAATATCAGGGAGTCATTTATCAAAATGCAAAGATATAAGGAAAATCCAGGGTTTCCGTTTTTTGTCCACCCTGTATATAAGATATGGTATTGCATTATTCGAAGATGAGAAATACGTTGTACACATTAGGGTCCGAACCTTCTCTCCAAACGGCCCTGTATCTGCACTTTCTAAGTTTAAGAAAAAACTTTGAACTCGCCGAGCCAACCAAAGCTTGACGTCCTAAAAAGGACGATTTTGAAAATAAAATTGTGGTAATTTATCCTTGTTTCACCTTTCACCCAGAGTTGATGAATTTTGAAAGATAATTGAACGTTGTTTTTTTCCTTTAGAACATGTTAACGCGGTCGGTTTGAATTGGTTTATTGCCCAGTTTGCGACGGCCATCGTTGAAGACAGTGATACTCGTATGATCTACGATTTTTACAAAATATCAATTTATTGTACAGAATCAGTCTGTATACAGAACAATAATTGTGTGGAACACCAACAGCATTGTATGTTATATAACGGTACAGGATATATATCACATTTTATGACTAATATATTCAGTGTGTTATTGATAACAAATTTATTTCAAATTGGTATACCTCTTCTTAAATCAGGTATCTGTGACCATTTAGAAATCAATCAAGTAGCATTAAAGCTTGATCTAACAAGCAATAGTACTCTAAAAATATTACTGTAATAATACAGCAAAATTGAGCAGCTCATTGAGAACTATCTGAAATAATTGTACGAAAACAGGATCTTTGAAACGAAACAGTATCCGGAATCCTGGAAAATACGCAATATTGTTCATATCCATAAAGATGATCTAAATCTAATGTTCATAGGTTCTGGGCCGATATAAAGATGGCAGCACCAACAGAATCCAGTATTATATTTTTCTCAAGAGAAACATAGATAAACACAGATCGATTACCATGCCATCTTTATTTAAGATGATTTCTATCGCCCTTAGTCTATGCTAATGATGTAAACTATTGTTCTAGAACAGTTCAAAACGGTTTCTCTTCTGGTCATAGCTCCCATCCTCAACTTATCTCAATTATTGACAACTTAATAATTACTCGTATCAACATCGATCAACTATCCGGAGTCTTTCTTGATATCTCGGCAGCATTCTACAGCTTACCATTTGAACACTGAACTCAATATGGATGCTCTAGTTTGTGGGATGGATATCACATGCCCAGTGTACGCGGACGACACTTCAATACTTACTACTAGCCCGACATCTATTATGCAACATTTAGATTGATAACGCCAGAGAGTCAGACTCTTAGATAACCGTTTTAAGGCCCGGTTACACCGCCTAAACGTTGCTGGAGCGTTCCTTGAACGTTGAAAAAAATCATCAACGCTCGTAAACGTTCACCACCGTTTAACAAAAGTTGGCATCCGTTAAAGCAACGCTGTAAACGCTCGGCCAACGCGGATGTTTCTCGAGTGGCCGTCCCAACGCTCCAAAAGTTTTGAGCTGCTCAAAATATTGCGAGCGTTGAAAAAGGGACAATTATACGCCCTGGCAAAGTTTATCACCGCTCCACCAACGCCCAGTCAAAGTTTGGCACCGCTAGACGCAAGTTCGTGGACGCTTGAATCCGCTAGACCAACGCAGAAATCTTAAACGCTGGACCACCGCTGCTTCGCCAGCGTTGCCCGGGCGGTGATTAAACGTTGCTCAAACGTCGGTGGAGCGGTTGTTAGCGTTTTATCAGCGTACACGGTGTTGTTGAAACGGTGTCGGACGTTGTCGCAGCGTTCCATGGCGGCGATGAACTTTGCTTTGGCGTTGGTATAGAGGTGTCGGAGCGGGACCAGAATTTGGCTATAAATACGTGGAGAAATGCACCACGAGCTCTTTTGGAGTCAAACGCGATATGCTGCTAAACCAACGCTGCTGCTATTTATACCCCCGCCGAGGCAACGCTCTCTTGCGCAGAACGCCGCTATACCAACGCTCGCATTACCGCTAAACAAACGCTAGCTACCGCTTGCAACCGCTTAACCAACGCTAAAGCAACGCCGGCTTCAGCGGTGCACCGCTAAGCCAACGCCCGTGTTTTTGTTTTTTTCCCCATTTTGTGCGCGTTGACGAGCGTTGATGAATTTTTTTAACGTTCAAGGAACGCTCCAGCAACGTCCGGGCGGTGTGACCGGGCCTTTATATGATCACATTGATGTTACTTCACTTGTTACAGTCACTTCAGTCTCAAATTCTGATTGTTCGATTTCGTACTCATCCTTCCGTTCTCTAGATACACTACCATTCTCGAGGCCTTTCTTACTGCAACAGATACAACCTACGCACCTAATCGGAACATACGGCGGCAAAAACGGGCAGTACCGAAAAATCGTATGACGATTAAGGAACCCAGTTATCAAAGGAATGTCATACAGTTTCAGATCTGTCTCATCGAATTTACCATCAAAACGATTTGTATCTTCGCCGACTTCAACTGTGTTCTTCCGCCAAGCGCTTATACCCCGTTCTTCTGGTGTACCTATGTAATATAAAAAGTTCAAACTGGGGTATGTGTTTCCAAACAAAACCAGTGAATACGATTTGAATCTTATAGGATTTTTACAGAAAATACAAACTGCATTATATTGAAATTGTTGCATTATGTACTTAACAAGAGAGTGAGCATGTTTAATGCTTAATTTTTTTCGCCAGTGAGCAAATAAAATTCATTAATAATACCGACAAATTGAGATAGATGTCAGACAAGGTAGTATATAACTATTTATGTTTATTTTGACGTTCATTTCGTTAATTTCAAAATATTAAGTATCAACGTTAAAAAATACAGACTTTAAGTTACGCCCACTTTAAAGGATTGGAACGTGACGTCTGTAACTGACCCTCTCGACTCATTTGGTTTACACAGGGACCTAATTACCCAAATGCGAGTAGGTAGTTACCAGTTTCACCATCAGGTGGCTGATTCGGGTCAATTAACATGGCAGGTATATAAGAAAGTACCCTCTTAAACTTGAATATTATCAATTTAAGTGGCTCAATTTTCATATAACCCTTATGTGTCTAATACTTATACTAATGAAAATATGTCCAGTAAAGCAAAATATCATCTGTCCACTAAAAGAAAATATATTTCATTTTTGTGATTTTATAGCATGGGGTCTATGAGGAATCTCCCCGAGCTAGAAGTCACATTTTCGAAGAAAAGTTATTTTTCAAAGTTGATAAACAATTTTTAAAACCACATTTCTAGATGTAATTTTACATGTAGATTTCAAATATGATATTACTTTGACTGAATTTTGAATTTTTAATGACGTAAATCAAGATAATTTCTACTCGCATCTGGGTTATTATAACTAGTTCCATTATATCATCATAATACTCAATGGTAAATTAGCACCTTGGGCAGGGGATAAGATAAACCATAAAACCTTGCCTAGTAAGTTGTTTATTTATGCATGGCTAAATGATTTATCTATTTCCACTGGCAGATCTGGGGGGGGGGGCAGGCCCCTGCTTACACATTCTTTGGATCCCAATAAAACACGAGTAAGCCATTATTTCACACATTCACTGCACGTTGTAAAGACGATGCTTAAACGCTCAAATGAATGTATAGATGTGTCCACGCATGAATAAAGCCATTATTTCACACATTCACTGCACGTTGTAAAAAACGATGCTTTAACGCTCAAATGAATGTATAGATGTGTCCACGCATGAATAAAGCCATTATTTCACACATTCACTGCACGTTGTAAAAACGATGCTCAAATGAATGTATAGATGTGTCCACGCATGAATAAAGCCATTATTTCACACATTCACTGCACGTTGTAAAAAACGATGCTTTAACGCTCAAATGAATGTATAGATGTGTCCACGCATGAATAAAGCCATTATTTCACACATTCACTGCACGTTGTAAAAAACGATGCTTTAACGCTCAAATGAATGTATAGATGTGTCCACGCATGAATAAAGCCATTATTTCACACATTCACTGCACGTTGTAAAAACGATGCTCAAATGAATGTATAGATGTGTCCTAGCATGAATAAAGCCATTATTTCACACATTCACTGCACGTTGTAAAAAACGATGCTTTAACGCTCAAATGAATGTATAGATGTGTCCACGCATGAATAAAGCCATTATTTCACACATTCACTGCACGTTGTAAAAACGATGCTCAAATGAATGTATAGATGTGTCCTAGCATGAATAAAGCCATTATTTCACACATTCACTGCACGTTGTAAAAACGATGCTTAAACGCTCAAGTGAATGTATTGATGTGTCCACGCATGAATAAAGCCATTATTTCACACATTCACTGCACGTTGTAAAAACGATGCTCAAATGAATGTATAGATGTGTCCAAGCATGAATAAAGCCATTATTTCACACATTCACTGCACGTTGTAAAAACGATGCTCAAATGAATGTATTGATGTGTCCAAGCATGAATAAAGCCATTATTTCACACATTCACTGCACGTTGTAAAAACGATGCTCAAATGAATGTATTGATGTGTCCAAGCATGAATAAAGCCATTATTTCACACATTCACTGCACGTTGTAAAAACGATGCTCAAATGAATGTATAGATGTGTCCTAGCATGAATAAAGCCATTATTTCACACATTCACTGCACGTTGTAAAAAACGATGCTTAAACGCTCAAATGAATGTATAGATGTGTCCACGCATGAATAAAGCCATTATTTCACACATTCACTGCACGTTGTAAAAAACGATGCTTAAACGCTCAAATGAATGTATAGATGTGTCCAAGCATGAATAAAGCCATTATTTCACACATTCACTGCACGTTGTAAAAAACGATGCTTAAACGCTCAAATGAATGTATAGATGTGTCCACGCATGAATAAAGCCATTATTTCACACATTCACTGCACGTTGTAAAAAACGATGCTTAAACGCTCAAATGAATGTATAGATGTGTCCAAGCATGAATAAAGCCATTATTTCACACATTCACTGCACGTTGTAAAAACGATGCTCAAATGAATGTATAGATGTGTCCAAGCATGAATAAAGCCATTATTTCACACATTCACTGCACGTTGTAAAAACGATGCTTAAAAGCTCAAATGAATGTAGATGTGTCTACGCCCATACTTACCTGGAACTGCATTGTCGAGAATAAACCCAATGACTCCACCGACAAACATAGCTGTACTTAGAAACACAGTAATCACCTGATCCAACTCGCTGTAGCCTAAATATATATTTTATTTCGATAACATCATGGCCACCCTTAATTATCGATAAGCAATGAAATGGTTGATATTTTACATCGTAAGTTGATATTAACATGATACATGGGTGAATTCATAATTCAAAATTAAAATATATCGATTAAACTACATTCTCAATTTTCGGTTGACCTTTCCAAAACAATATTGCGCATGCGTAGAACCATTATTTCCGGCTTAGTAAAGCGTGAATGATTTGCATACTCATAGTTTGAATTTGTCTGAAATACTTTGTGATTGTTGAATGAGTACCTGTTTTGATGGCATTAGGGTGATCCCCAGTCCAACGTGATGTCATATAACCTCCATAGATAGCCAATCCCAGTATGGATAAATTCCTGATGGAAGAACAGTCGGCATACTTTATAAAAGAAAGTCCAACAGCAGTGAGAAGCCCCATTGTTAAAATTGAAATACCACCTAATATCGGATCGGGTATCGTAGCCAGCGCTGTACCGACCTTTCCAACACATCCCCCAATGACTAAAATCACGCCAACCATGATGAACACCAATCTGCTTCCAACCTATTTGGTATATCGCAAATTTATTTTGGACCATATCAACTTGATCAAGTTAAGCATATCATCATGATGCAATCAAAAATAAGCACACACGCTAGCTATTTCCCTAAAAGAAAACCATACACAATCAAGTACAATAATATTGAATAGAGGTGTTGAAGAAAAAATATTGTTATTTGATGTTAATACAAAGTAAAACATAAAATTGTAATCAGACTTTCAAACCATATGCCGTATCAATTTTCCCCAATCAGGGCAACCCTGTTTATATGTGTATTTTCAAGAGTGCCAAAAAGAGCAATCAATAATTATACCTTAGTTAGCCCTATGATACCAATGTTTTCGCTGTATGAAGTCGTGGCGTGACAGGCACCTACGGCACCGGAAATGATGCTGCCAAGTCCCTCCATGGCAATACCGCGATTTATTGCGTGCGCAGGAGGAACAGGAGCTTGTGCTATTTTCGCGCATGCGTTGTAATCAGCAACAGATTCGATAATGGACGCTACCACTGCCGCCAAAGTACCTACAAATCCAGCGACACCTATTGAGGGAACTCCGTACTGACCTGTTATAATTGAAACAATAATCAAAGTCATTCAAGAGTTTTATATCTATGGGCTGATTCAGAGGAAAATATTTAGGTAATAACCTGCAAGCAAACCGTCTCCCCGTTTTGTAATAAGAAACTTCAATTTCATTCAAAAACGATCCACGTGTCCAAAAAACAAAATGGGCGATTTTAAACGTTATAATAAACGCTTTAAGAACAGAATCTTGGTTTCTGTCGTAAGTAAGAAATATACAGGGTGTTCCAAAAGTAACAGGACCGTTGCTGGTATTGAATATCCCCCAATTGTCTTCAAAACTTTACATAATGTACTTTCAAGTATTGTGACTTAAATTGTAAAGTTTTAACGAAAATTATGAAACTTAATAAGAGTTATGGTTGCTATGGTGACATGACATCACAATACCCGGGCAACACTCCACGCACAAAATTACAAAGACTTTAAGCAGTTTAAATTGTACATCCCATATATCAAAGTTGAAATGCAACTCGTGAGAATAACATTTTGTTTTACATCATTTAATTTCCCCATGTATCCTCTATATTGAGAAATAGGCTCCTCTTTGGTCAGTACAAGTGTATTGACGCTGGATCCATGACTCAAACATATGAGTGATATTGAGGACATGCCACACATGGTCGACTGGACAATTTGGAGAAGGTCATTCTTATCTTATGTTAAATATCAGATTTTCATGGAAAGGTTGCCCCGGGTATTGTGATGTCATGTTACTATATTAACCATTACTCTACCTGTATCCTCTCATTTTTTCTGAAACTTTATTTAGCAGTAATATTACATATATTTAATACAATATACTATTCAGCCTGAATCCTTCTGGATATATAACGCATTTAATTACAATATTTTGTTATAAAATAATTGCTTGTTCACTACACTACTTTTTGCTGAATCTAAATAATTTGAAAAAACTAAATTTGAATAAGGAAAGAAAATGGAAAAATGAGAAGTGCAGGTATTACGTTACATTCAGCATTTTATACATTAAACTATCTTAATTTTACTTTATATTTATACACACATTTACATTATAATATGCAAAACATATTGTACATTATTCCATAGTTAGCATGATATTCATAGGATAACATGTGAAAATAAAAACGGTATTTTTGTAATCAGTGGTAAGATATGATATTTTTGACAAATTTTATTTTAACCATAACATACGGTTTTTTAGCCATGACATACGACGTCGTATGCGATGGTTTATGGATTTTTGCTACTTCAGACTCAAAACGAGGCTAAGTGTCAACATCGCCGGATCGTTTGGAAATTCGAATTAAATAACTGAATTTTCGACGATTCTGATGATGACTTTAACTATGGAATAAAAAGAACATCCTATGATTTCCTCGTGATATGATTTTAATCCACTCATGGATATTGATATCTGCACTCTCTCGCTACGCTCGCTCGTGCAGATATCATATCCATTCGTGGATAAAAATCATATCACTCATAAATAATAGGATATCCTCTATATATAAAAGATATCGCTGTATGAATATAGTTATGGGGGAATTATTCTCACATGTTAAAGCAAAATTGCCAAATGTTAAAACTCTTTGGCCGATGTTCACCGATTTTTGTGTGTTTTAGTTTAAATTCCTGGTTGTTATTCTACATCAAGATCAAGAAAGATGTAAAATTGTTGTCTCTTTTTCCAAAGGTGTGTGATTTCTTACCTGGATAGGGAAAGTAGAACCAAGACGCATCGTTGACTGCTTGGATGGTTGATGTTGTCCGAGCTTTGAAGCCATACACCGGATCCTCAGGGAATACTTCGGTGGCTGTTAAGATTGCGCATAGCGTCCACATTATGGCCACTGTTAATATAATCTACAAAGTGTGGTATTTTAATGTTAAACTCAGAGTACTACTGTTTAAGTGGTGATTTTGCCTAATCATTTAATTTTCCTATTGCCTAATTTTGTCAGGTTCGGAAAATTAAAAGTCGGACATATTATCTTCATAATGTTATCCAATGAGAACTTTCTTGTCATTAGAAAAATTATAAAATTTGAGCATCCGGCAAATTAACCACTCGAATTAAATACCACGTATACTGCATCTAGTACTATCTAGATTTTAGAGGACATATAGTTTGTCGTATATTTATAAATAATTTCTTAACATGGATCAATATATCAATTATTTTGGATTTTAAATCACGCATAACTGTTACAGCAATTGACGTCGTGTTTGCCGAATCCTTTATCTAATAGACCGATGACCTCATGGTCAAATCTGAAATATAGATAACTTACCGGGATAACCTGAAAGATGGGAAATCTTATCATATGGCAACCTTTCTCCTTGGACCATCCAGGCAATGGTACGTTCATTCGGCCAAGGAACAGAGAGAATATAATAAGTACCAGCAAACTCCTGTAAAATATATTGTAGAATCATTCCACATACATTTTCACAATAGACGAAGGTGAGGTATTTACGATTGAATGGTAACATTATCATAGTTCTAATGTCATTACGTAAGAACATGTATCTGTCCAGTAATACTGTATAAGTGGTAATTTTGCCTAATCATTTAATTTGCCTCTTTCCTAATTTTTGCCAGGTTCGGAAAATTAAATGTCGGAAATATTGTCTTTATAATGTTATCCAATGGGAGGTTTCTTGTAATTAGGAAAATTAAAATTAGGAAAATGATGAAATTTGACCATTCGGAAAATTAACCACTCGGATTAAATACCACTTATACAGTACTTTGCGCCAATATGGCGACGACAAATATGGTTGTACGTGAAAATACGTTATGCCTTGATGTGATGATGCCACATCTTCCATTATTTACAAAGATGCTTTGCCAAAATGTGTTGACGTAGAATCTCATTACGTACAAAGATGATATGTCCAACTAAATGATGTCAACTCTGCCCTCACTTACAAAGATGCCATACTTCAACTAAATGATGTCAGCTCTGCTGTCACTTACAAATATACTATACCGCAACTAAATGATGTCAACTCTGATCTCACTTACAAAGATGCTATACCCAACTAAACGATCTCAGCTCTGCTCTCACTCAGAAAGATGCGATACCCCAACTAAATGATGTCAGCTCTGCTCTCACTTACAAATATACTATACCCCAACTAAATGATGTCAGCTCTCCTCTCACTTACAAATATACTATGCCCTTAATTAAATGGTGTCAGCTCTGCTCTCACTTACACATATACTATACCCCAACTAAATGGTGTCAACTCTGCTCTCACCTACAAATATACTATACCCCAATTAAATGGTGTTAACCTTGCTTTCACTTACAAAGATGCTATACCCAAATCAAAGATGTCAACTTTGCTTTCACTTACAAAGATGCTATACCCCAATTAAATGATGTCAGCTCTGCTCTCACTTACAAAGATGCTATACCCCATCTAAATGGTGTCCACTCTGCCCTCATTTACAAAGATGCTATACCCCAACTAAATGATGTCAACTCTGATCTCACTTACAAAGATGCTATACCCAAACTAAATGATGTCAATTCTGCCCTCACTTACAAAGATGCTATACCCCAACTAAATGATGTCAACTCTGATCTCACTTAGAAAGATGCTTTACCCAACTAAATGATGTGAGCTCTGCTCTCACTTACAAAGATGCTAAACCCCAACTAGATGGTGTCAACTCAGCCCTCACTCACAAAGATGCTATACCCCAACTAAATGATGTCAGTTCTACTCTCACTTACAAAGATGCTATACTCCAACTAAATGATGTCAGCTATGCTCTCACTTACAAAGATGCTATACCCCATCTGAATGATGTCAACTCTGCTCTCACTTACAGAAATGGTATACCCCATCTAAATGGTGTCAACTCTGCTCTCACTTACAATGATGATATGCCCCAATGTGATGACGCCAAGTCGGCTGATATAGGCATTAGTGTAAAACCAATGAGAGTTATGGTCGGTGCTATTGTCAACGGGCCAATAAATCTCACGAGAAAACCCATGAATCCAGTTAGTCCAAATATAACTTGAAGAACAGAGGCAAGCATCAGACATCCGGAGATCTAAAAAGGAAATCGATTATTTAAGCACAAACGTAAATTGAGAAAAATAGAAGCCCGTCATACGTAAGAATGAACCTTGTCTATGAAATAATTGGATTACATATGAGTACATATGAAAATCGATGTACAGGGCGTTCAATAAGTACTGATAAAAATGTTGTAACCTTTTTAAATTTTTACATTTCTTACTAACTTTTCTACTGCACGTTGTTGAGTAATGTACAGATGTACTGTGAGAGTTACAAGAATATACCCTATCAGGAAGGTGGTACTGAGTTGAGTCTAATATATTATAACTCCGAGTTGTAATTTCTACGGCGACCATGCGGCCTGTAAAAACTGGATACGCCGTACGGAGGCCGCAAGGCGAACGTACTAGTTTTCCTACGCTCGCCGCAGAAATACACTGATTTAATTGATCTGCGGTCGACGGACGCCCTCCGTACGACAAATGTGACCGGGTTGTAAGGTGGAAATGACATCAAGGAACAATCTATTAGAAATTTAGAATAAAATTACACTCCAGAGCAATTTAAAATCAAATGACATCATCGAGAAATTACATCACACAAATTGAGCAGAAATTGTGTGATCAACTACATGGCTGTTGAACAGAATATCAATAATATTAAGCATCAAATTAGAAGCAGCATCAAGTTCTGTATACTCTAGTATTACTAGGTAAATCAAAATAGAATAAAGTAAAGGACATTCATGAAGCTTATGGAGAGGACACTATATCTACAAATCCATGGCATGGCATATCGTTGGTAATGGTTCCGCTATAATATTGGATGAATTCCTATTAGAAAAATTGCAGATAAGGCTTGTCCATGTGTCGGTTGCACACACCATGTTATATTCATAATGATTTAGAAATGACGTTGATGTGTGACAACACATCAAAAAAAGCGAATCAAATCCTCGAATCCTGAAGGCATGATTCAAGCAGGATTCATATGCACATATGAATCCTGTATGAATCCTGCCTCCAGGATTCGTAGAGGATTCACTGTTTAAGTAGTTTACAAATGAATCCTGTAGCCAGGATTCGTGCAGGATTCATATGGAAGGTAGTTTACAAATGAATCCAACCTTCAGGATTCGTGCAGGATTCATATGGAAGGTAGTTTACAAATGAATCCAACCTTCAGGATTCGTGCAGGATTCATATGGAAGGTAGTTTACAAATGAATCCAACCTTCAGGATTCGTGCAGGATTCATATGGAAGGTAGTTTACAAATGAATCCAACCTTCAGGATTCGTGCAGGATTCATATGGAAGGTAGTTTACAAATGAATTCAACCTTCAGGATTCGTGCAGGATTCATATTAGCCCAGTCAAACTAATGAGAAAAATAGCTTAACCCAAAACAAATTGCAATAGAAATCAAAATAGGTTAGTTATTTACATTTATTAACCTTGAAATACATACTAAATATCTACCAAAATTGAAATAGTGGAACAATGTTAAAATTTGAATCGAAGATACCCCCTACCCCACCCCCTTCAATTTATGAGTGCAGGACTAAAAAACATATTTCTTAAAGTTGAGGTCTTATTTTTACATGATTTAGCTTGACCACAATTGGATATTGTTTTTCCTAGATAATAATATTAATTTAACAAAGAAAAAGTTCATTTGTCTTCTTTTTAACCCTAACAAACCCAGAAAATATAGAAAAAAATCTCTCAAATTTCGCATATAATAATTTGAATATGTGTTTTTATCCTGATGGGACCTTCTAGAAAATGTCCTATAATTTATAACGATGGACCAACATTACATTTATTAATCCTTTGTAATATTGAAATGATAGGTTTATTGAATTTTGAGAAATAAACTTTTTGATACCGTATGGTTAGGCTACTAGAATGTAGGTCGGAAAAGAAATTTGTACAAATGAGAGGAAAAGGCACAAATAAGGTACCGTTGTAAAACTAATGACCCAATCTTTTCAAATCCACTTGTTTCCCAGTCTCAAATTTGTTACCAGTAATGTCAAATGCCAGTTTCCATAGCAACCATTTGAATATTGTTAATAGATGTAATACGATATTAGGCAAATTCCACTCATTATTCCTCGACTCAAATTATATTTGTATCATAATGAAGCAATAAATATGCAATTAGCCCATATGCAAATTAGCTCATTTGCTCATTCATTATGACATCATATGATGTGTATTTTATCGTACCTAAAAAAGTAGGATACTGTTGTCTGCTTGGCGGATTGGTGGCATTTCATTTTTCTTGAAATCACAATTCCTGGAAAACCACTAAATGGTTTCACTTCAAATTTTCACAAATGTTACATGGAAAGAAGTTCTAGAGCTGATTCACTTTTCGGTGGCAATCTTGCATTCTGGCGGCCATCTTGGAAGTTTTTAGATAAATCTTGCCATCACAATTCCCCAAAAATCCCTCAACATATTTATTTCAAATTCTTCACATGTTACATGGTAAGAAGTTCTAGATCTAAAAATCTTTTCGAAAGCCATCTTGCATTCTGGTCCCCTTTCAGTGGCCATCTTGCCATTTTGGAAGTTTTTGGATTAATTTTGTCATTGACATTCCATGAAAACCAGTTAATGGATTAACTTCAAAACTTTACACATGTTACATGGTAAGATGTTCTACCGCTGATAAACATTTTGGTGGTCATCTTGCTTTTTGGGTAAACAGGCCCACACTGCTATGTATTAAGTCGACTTGATGATATCCTCATGTTAAGTCAATGGTGCGAACTTGATCAGCAACCCACTAAGCTTCTTAATCAGCTACTTACACAGCTACCTACATAATGTATATCATATTTATAGTGTATATATTATTGATAAGATTTCATTTTCAAGTCCATAAGGGTTATTGGTCTCAATTCTCCCAGTAATTTAAAAATAAGTGAAACAAATGAAGGCCTATCCCTATTTTTCAATTTTTAAAAAAAATTATGACTTTATATATATTTATATTATATTTAAGGCATACATTATGTATATATGATTTCATTATAAAGTCCTTAGGGGTTAATGATCTAAATTCTCCCAGTGATTTAAGAATAAGTAAAGCGAATGAAGGCCTACCCCTAATTTAAAAAGATTTTTTTTGAAAGTTTTTTTCTCAACAACTAATGAATGCAAAATTCTCTTGCCTTGTATATGTATGGATTACATAACAAGCTAAAACTGGGATTTTTTTTATACATGATTGGGTCACTTTTTAGGAATATAATGGCGTTCACATAAAATTACCGTGCACATTTAATGCAAAATTTCAGATGAATAAGGGTTAAAAATATTCTTATTCACTCTGAATATCAAAGTCAAAGAGATACACAGATTGGGATACCTTATTACAAGCAAGAAATTGTAAAATTACTTTAAAAAAATTGCAGGCATTTGAAAAATATTTTTTTCCAAGGGGAGGGGGTACAAAAAATGATTTTTTTACATGTTCCACTAAATAGATTTTGGTAGATTTTTAGTATGTCATTTCATATGTTGATATAAATTGAAAAAAACAACATTTTATTACTATTGCAATTAGTTTTGGGTCAAATGTTACTTTGACTGGACTATATGGAAGGTAGTTTACAAATGAATCCAACCTTCAGGATTCGTGCAGGATTCATATGGAAGGTAGTTTACAAAAGAATCCAACCTTCAGGATTCGTGCAGGATTCATATGGAAGGTAGTTTACAAATGAATCCAACCTTCAGGATTCGTGCAGGATTCATATGGAAGGTAGTTTACAAATGAATCCAATCTTCAGGATTCGTGCAGAATTCATATGGAAGGTAGTTTACAAATGAATCCAACCTTCAGGATTCGTGCAGGATTCATATGGAAGGTAGTTTACAAATGAATCCAACTTTCAGGATTCGTGCAGGATTCATATGGAAGGTACTTTACAAATGAATCCTGTAGCCAGGATTCAAGCAGGATTCATATACAAGGTAGTTTACAAATGAATCCAGCATTCAGGATTCGTGCAGGATTCGTATGAAAAATGAATCATGTAATCACGGAAATTTTTGAAAAGTGCCCCCCCCCCCTGGGAAAATGCTTGCTGTATGTTTCTTTAGCGAACCTTCCTCCAGGCTACGGGCTTGAAGCACAATTTATTCCAGCGTTACTTAATATAATTATTAATCACCCTCTCCCCAATGGTGATAGTGACCCGTATCATGTCCGATTATACCATTCATTTTTAATGTAACATAAATCAAACTAGAATATAAATGAGAATATACCCATGCGAAACATGGTAGTGTATTATACGGTTTGGAAATTTCAAAAGACTAAGGGTCTTAAAGATATATTTGATCAAGCCAATATTAAGATTAATTTATTGTGAGCATTTTTGTAATTTTCGAAAAATTGTATGTCCACATAATTAAAGTGGTTAATTAGTTGATCTGTGAAGAAGTGTCTCAAGAGCCAAAAAGAAGACAGTTTTTCACCAGAGTATGTCCTACCCCTTGCCAATGCCTAAGTTCGCCCCGTGAACCACCTTGATAATGTCCCCTCCCGGGTCCCCTTGTCACCACCCCCCTCCAAATCCACCAATTGTTTTAAACCATGCTGAATATATTAACATTACCATATAATCAAAACTGGCGTCCGTTTGAGCTTCTAACACTGGTATGAAGGATGTAACAAATATACAATGTATCTAGAATGGTATATTGAACTTTTGTCTAATGTTGATGTCCAAAAAACATTTTGTTTTTGTTTATCAAAACATTCCGGTGACACAATAACGAATATACACATTGTAACATAGATAAGAGAAACGGGGAAAATTATAATCCCTTTGATCAAATTTTAAGATTTAATCTCCAACTGAGGGGCAATCAAAGAGTTGATACACATAATTAGCAATCAGAAAGTTAATTACCACTGTAGTTTAGATTCCCAGGTTCAAAGTTTTCAATTGCCTTTGTTGTAACATCTTATTTCAAAAGAATGGATTTTGAGAATATGGTTGTATGGATG